TTTAGGATGGGATTTGGTGACTTGGTCCTGAGGAATCTCATTTAGAGTTCTGAATAATAGGGTATCCCCACAGGAATCCATAGCAAATAGAGATCAAAACACCTAATTTGTTACTGGTAAGCCTGGATTGCAAAGCACTTTAACTTGAACTTGAGACCAAAGTGGGGTTTCCCCACTAATTTAAATATATAAATCTAGTCAGAGATATAACAGCTGGGAACCCTGAGGCCTCATCTACATTTTTATAGAGACGTAAAGAAGAATCTCTTTCACATGATGGTAGATAGGTATATATTTACGTATATACAGATATATAGATATATCTAGCTTCTCTAATAGTATCATAATTGAGTTAAATTGTAGGCTACTCAGGTGATACCACAGGGAATTGCTTGGTGGAAAAAAATTCTCCAGGAGGACAAAGTGTTTCCTTACACACTTCTTTTCCTATAACAACAGACAAGAAAATGTTTTAAATATTTCTCATAGGAAAATGAGAAGTATATCTGTAAAATGAAATTTTTTCAATTCTTTTTGGATTTCAGACAAGAATTTCTTTCATGGACAATCTCACTTTTTAAATTTTTTTTAAAGAGTTTATTTATTTATTTGACAGAGAGAGAGATAGCGAGAGCAGGAACACAAGCAGGGGTGTGGGAGAGGGAGAAGCAAGCTCCCGGCCAAGCAAGGAGCCCGATGTCAGACTCAATCCCAGGACCCTGGGACAATGACCTGAGCCGAAGGCAGATGCTTAACCAACTGAGCCACCCAGGCGCCCCTCACCTTTTTTTTTAAATGTTTCAAGTTTTTATTTAAATTCTAGTTAGTTAACCTATAGTGTAATATTAATTTCAGAAGTAGAACTTAGTGATTCATCACTTACATACAACACCCAGTGTTCATCCCAACAAGTGCCCTCCTTAACATCCATTACCATTTGTTTTATTTTTATTTTTTTAAAGAGAAAAGTTATTTTATTTTTTTTATTATGTTATTTTAGTCACCATACAGTACATCATTAGTTTTTGATGTACTGTTCCATGATTCATTGTTTGTGTATAACACTTAGTGCTCCATGCAATAAGTACCCATTTGTTTAAAATAATTCTTTGTTACTGGAGTACTGGAATATGGTGTTCTCCAATATTTTTAGTACCATGGTTTCCAAGTGGGGCAAAATTACTCTTCACAAAGCATGGAGTGAGGACCTAGACTAAGGAAGGTATGGAGACCAGCAAAAAAAGCAGGACAATAGGCAGTGAATGCTATTTGCTTTCAGGAAAATTATTGTTCTTTTGCTTTTTTGTTGGAAATGACTGCAGAGGTTAGGTTTAAAACCAAAACTGGTACAAAGGAAAAGAGAAAGCATGAATAAATGCAGAGGCTAAAGTCAAATGATGGTCAAGATGAAGTAAGCCCTTAAGAATATTTAGAAGCTATGAGTGGGAATTTAAACCATTTAGGATATAGACTTATATTATATAGTTAAGCTCATTAACTTCTAAGGGAGAAAATTTTCTGTTCTGGTAATGGCCTAGTAACTCTTATCAAACCACACTTCCTGCAAGGAATATCTCTAAACTCCAAGAACATATAAACAACCAGCTACATAAAGACACTAGAGGGTAAACAAAAGAAGGCACAGGAAGGGGATCAATACTTGGCAGAAGTAAAGGCACTGGGTGACATTCCCAGCTACATTTTTTAATAATTTGAGCTTGGGTGCAGGTCCTTATCAGGCCATGCAGGGCTGCTAAAATCCAGAAAGAAACCCACAGCCTATCTGGCATGAGAAAGCAAAGGACAAGTTTAGGTTGAACTGAACAACTGGAAAATGAAAGGGAAGGATTTTGGAGAAGAGAGAGTTATAGAAAGGGAACTGCACATCTTGACTCTACTCAAGTCTCTAGCTAACCTCTGAACGATGGATGTGCTGGATAGATTCTAAGCAGCTCAGTTAAGGTTAAAATAACTGGAATGAGATTGCAGAGTTTAGAGTTTGAGTTCAGCCATGAAACAAAATATTTGTACTCTTCAATGGAACATAAGAGAATCCAGAGACTCTACAACATATTATTCAAAATGTCCAGAATACAATCCAAATTTATTAGATATGAAAAAGCAGGAAATTGTAGCCCATACTTAAGATAAAAGGCAATCATTGGAGATCAAGTTTGATATGGCCCAAGTTTGGAACTAGCAGACAGATTTTAAGCATCAACTAAAACTATGCTCAAAGGTATAGAAGAAAATATAAGGAATAAGGCAATGGCGTCTGGCACACATGTTTGTGTTTACACACTCTATTCTTCATATAAAATAACAGTACTTATAAAAACAGTGATGACAGAAAGTAGCTCAATTATGCACACTAAAAAGGAGCTCAATTATGCACACTATATCCTAAATTTGGTTTGTAGGACATTCATTCATAATAAACAACCATTTATTTTTTTTATTTTTTTTAAAGATTTTATTTATTTATTTGAGAGAGAGAGAATGAGAGATAGAGAGCACGAGAGGGAAGAGGGTCAGAGGGAGACGCAGACTCCCCGCTGAGCAGGGAGCCCGATGTGGGACTCGATCCCGGGACTCCAGGATCATGACCTGAGCCGAAGGCAGTCGCTTAACCAACTGAGCCACCCAGGCGCCCATAAACAACCATTTAAAATGTACCTTGCTGGGTGCTAGAAGGGCAATGAAAAATTAGATGTTGTTCTTCTATTCACAGACCTTAGAGTTGACTTGAACCTAAACAACAATATTATAAGGCCAAAAATAATGCATTTCGTTAAAACAGTACTTAAAAGCAGTCTGAGGTCTCCGCTATTCGTGGAGGAGAAGATCTAAAGGAAGGTTTTAAGAAGGAGTGACAGATGACATGGACCTTAAAAGAGCTTAAAATTTCTATTTGTGGGCATGATGGATAGGGGTGAGCATCCAGCTGTACACAGTGAAGAAAGGTCTGCATATAATGAAATGAAGTAGCCACCTTTGGCTGGAGGGTTTAGTTTGTGACAACGGTGGTGGGATCTAACATATGATAATGTAGGTGGGCCCAGATTGCAAAATGCTGGGCCAGATAGTTAGAATGATTCTTAAAACAATAAGGAACCAATTAAAAAGAAAATACAAAAGCCCAACATCATTCCCTTTGAAAACTACAAATCCAAAAAGGATTTCCATTATTTATTGTTTATGATTCTCACAATCACCTGTACAAAAAGTAAATGGAATAGCTCATATAATTTTAGTGTAGTTCTCTTTAGTCTGTTGAGGATTAAGTTGCCAGATGATAGATTTGAGCAAGAAAAGGATTAAGAAATGTTCTATGAAATAACTTAACATTTTGATTACAAGATACATGTGAAAGTTTATGGTTTCATAAAATATTTCACTGTACGACTTAAAAGAATCCACTATTCCTTTGGGTAGGGGTGGGGCAAATTGAATTCCATCTTTACGAATTAAAACGCATGCATAAAATACAAATGATGATTAAATTATATGTTTCTAAGTTTGCAGAAATAAGCAAATACTTCTTTCCTAAGGCCCTTTTGTGGCCTTTTCTGATGAGGAAATTCAGGAGATTCTGTTTTCAGCTTATCAGGCAGTTATGAAATCACATTGAAAATTTCAAAATATTGACAATAAAGGCAAGGCATGAGAAAATATCTTGAAGCCTAATAATAAGTAAGAAAATAAATCCTTTGTGAGTAATGTGTTTTTATAATACCTCAGTAGCTTCAAGTATGGAAACATTAACTGGGAGTATTTTAGGTTTTTGTAATGTCAGAAAATAATAACACCAGATTATCTCAGAACAGGAAGGACAATAGAATTTTATTTCTTTGTACTCACAATGCTTATTGTATCCTTCATGTTACAGCTAATGACTTTAAGAAAAAGAGCATAGTTACATGGCCTTGGACATATTTTGTTGCTTATAAGCAAATTATTATGTGATATTTATTTGACTTGAAAAAGCTAATGTAGCATCCATTTATTTTTTTCCTATATTTGTTTTGTGGCATGGAGTGGTGGTATCTGGTTAATCTATATTGATATGCACATAAATATTCCCTATATTCTACAATTTCATAAAATGCATTTGTTTAGAACACTTCCTTCAATGGCCTTATGTAATATTCTGTGAAAACAAAGCTCACACCAGATAGAAGTCACTGTCTTTGAAATAAAGTTGTCCATAAGCGTTTACCTTTGTTTTGTTTTGTTTTGTTGTGCTTTGGATTTTCTGATAGGCGCTTTGTGTTCTATAACTCTGAGATTTTTGCAACTCTCCATGGTCTCTCTGCTAGCAATCATTTACACCTAAATTCCCTGAGAGACAAGCTCAAACCTGTCTCTCCCTTTGTTGAACCATTTCCTTAGGTACCATTTAATAAGATTAATTGTACTAAAAATCATATAAGAAAATAGGACTTATAGTTACAATTTGACCCCAATTCATGATCAATATAAAGAAATGTCATATAGGCATCATTGAACTCAAGTTGCTTTCTTCCTTGTTGCTACTGTTTAAATTTTGTTCAAGAGCACAATTTCTAACAACAGTCTTTGATAGTGTATGCCTAATCTGTTACTTAGTTTTCACATTAACTTATAAGCTCAAACAAATAAGAATAACATAATGTTGCCAACACTTTCTTTTTTTTTTACAATCTGACCAGTAATTAAACACAGACTATTTGATGCTTTATCTATCTGCTATTCCTTTTAAACTGATTGAGAAAGTCTTGTAACACCCAGGGTTTTGGACTTCCATGCTCAAACATTAGACAATGTCAGTCTAAGTCCTTTAAGTTCTTAGGTGAAGAAACCAATAAATACTTCCCATTTTCTTCTTTTCACATACTCCAGATGCAGCGTGTTTTTAAAACAGTGTCAGGTCTATCCCTCTCTGATTTACATCTGTGAGTTGAATCAAACTGTAATTAGCCTACAGCTGCACGTATAAAATAATCTGTTACACAAGCATCTCACTTTTCCCTGCATGGAAACATCAGTCCAGGACCTCATCTTCTAATGGATGTAAAGGATTTGAATTGGTGCCTCAGTTTACTCATCAACATCTCCCTGAAGTGATCTCCCAAAAGGAAATAGAAGACAGGGTTGATGGTACTGTTCAGAAAGGCCAAAGGCCGCGTCAAAATGTAGAAGGAGTTGATGGCAGCCTGAGTGCATTGGTATTCCTTCCACTTCTCCAGGCGTGAAGCGATCCTCACATTCCGCATGATGTGGTAGGGAGTAAAAAGCACGGAGAAGATCACAACGGCCATGATAACTAAGGTGAGAGGCTTTTCAAGGGGCAAAGCAGTAGCAAGCTGCCTGTTCCTCTGCTTTAGTAAAAGAGCAATCTTGAAATAAAAGAAGCACATCACCAAAAGGGGAATGAGGAATCCCAAGAAGGTTAGGCATATGCTATAAATGAGGCTCTTTTGGGGGTCCCCAGAACTTGCATAATCAATGCAGTTGGTGCCATTGGCAGCTAAATTAGGATTTATAAGAGGAAGCATGGGTAGTAGCTCTAAGGTTACTAAAACCCAAATAGCCAAAGAGATTAAAACAGCGAACTCCTTCTTTTGCAGAAAGTGTTCCCGGAAAGGATACTTCATGAGCAGGTATCGATCAATGCTGATAAAAGTGAGAAAAAGAATGCTGGTGTAGAGATTGGCATGAAGCACATATCGGTTGCTTATACAGAGCATGTCCCCATATATCCACTTTCCATGAGAATAACTTCTAATCAGTATGGGAAGTGTGCACAAAAAAGCCAAGTCTGAGATAGAGAGGTTAAAGAGATAAACGTTACTGCTATTCCAGTTCTTCAGACAGAAGAGGTAGCCAAAAACAACAGCGCTACTGCCAAGGACTCCCACAACAAACTCGATCCCATAGAAAATGGAAAGGTAGTACTTTTCCAGGGCAGCCTCTGCTGCCAGCCAATTTGGGCAAGTTGTGTTCCACGCCTAAAGAAGAAAAAGAGAAGGTAAAACACTAGACTATGACTAAAGACAAAACTGCACAGAACATAATAATAATTAAAAAAAAAAACCTCTTGTTTTTTTAAACTCTTAAAGCTTGAACTATAAAAAGTTGATTATATTAGGAAAGAGCGCATATACATACATATTCATATAGAGGTATATCACTAATATATTACTTCAACAAATATTTATCAAATACCTTTGAACTATATGCTGGGCACTGGGGATAACAGCACCGAGTCAATGTTCCTAATCTCAAACAATTTATACTTTCTTGGCTAGAACCAGGAAACAAATAAATGCATGTCACATAATGGTAAAAAATGTCTCAAACATAAAGGAAAGCACGTGCAAAGGCCCGGAGGTGGAAACACACATAGAGGACTTGACAAATAGCAAAGAGGCCAAGAAATGGTGCGATGAAATAAGTGGAACATCTAATTCTTTTTCCGTCTCCAGCTGTTCAACCAAGTCTGCTGAGTTAGATTCAATTGAACACAACCTAGGAGAGGACACAGGGATACTTATCACTCCAGGCTTGCTATTTTAATAGATTTTATTTTATTTCCATATTGTCAAAGAATTATGGTTATTTTACCAAATTTGAATATAATTCCAGTTTTAAAATATGATTTTTTAAAATTTAAAATATGAGCCTTAAAATCTTAGTAATGATAATGAGAGTGGCCACAATTTGCTGAAAGCTTATAGTATATCTAAGCAACAACCTTGAAGTCAGCTGTAGCTTATCTCCAATAACAAATAAGCTACCAAGTCTTGTCGCCTGTGGTGTCTGGCTATTTCTCAAGTCTGTCCCCTTCATGACCATTCTAGTCCAGGCCACCATGATCTTTATCTTAGACTGTATTTTATCTTCTATGGTCTCACATCTTCTCTGGCTCCCTTTCAATCTCCCTTCAACCTGAAAGCCAGACAATCTTGAAAAGCACAACCAAAATCCGGATCATATTAACTCCTCAGCCAAAACACTTAAATGACCTTCCACTGTCTAGGTAATGAAGTCCGAATCCTTAATGAGTACTTAAGGCATGCATGATTTGGCTCCTGTAGGCCACTTCAGCCTCACCTAGCATGACTCTCCTCCTTGCTCTTCTTCCTGTTCATTGAACGCACAGAGAACTTTCCCAATGCTCAGTTCACTGAATCCTTTCTCACTGACTTTTCCCCCTGTGGCCCTTGCCCCATCACATACACTGCCCTATGTCTGCACTCCTTTCAGACTTCAGTTTGCGCGGGTTTCCCAAGACAGACTCTCTGACCCACCATTTTATGTATATTTGATGTTCTCCTCGTAAACTAAGTTTCTTCGAATTTCTTGCAACTTTATCTTATTCATGTTTATCTTCTACATCTGCCATAGTGACTGCCAAATAGGAGATGGTCTGTAAATGCTTGTTGTGTGGAGATGGAGATAAACATTTGACTGTTTGGAAAACACTTTTATAAATATTTCCTCTAAGGTCAGATAAACCCATTGCTCTAGCCCACTATAAATCTGACACTGTACATAATGTGACTAATATTGAAAATGGGCAATTGTAGTAGTTAGGTAGCTTTGTTTAGACACACATTTGTCAAAAGGAAAATTATATACACATCTTCAGGATCAATTTTTTTAATTAAGGTTAATTTAAAAATTAGGAATTTATATCTGAAATTAATAAATATCAGAAAGTCTAGGATATGTACCAAGGTATGAGTTTTATCACTAGGGATGAGACACCAGATAATATTTAATGTGTCCTTTTTCCTTTTAGTTTATTTGGATTTTCTTTTTGTTTCCCCAAATCACCATGTGTTGGATATATTGAGATTTCTAGAAATATAGCAAAAAGGTTAATGGTTTTTTTTTTTAATAGGCTTTGTTTTATAGATCAGTGGTAATTTCTCACTATTATTTTTAACTCTCTTCCCCACTGCTTTCAGTTCTAAGGCGTCGGGAAGCACTCTCCTCCTTGCCTTCCATGATATGGCAATCTCCTTAGAGTCCTCCTTCCTCTCTTTGTAGGCTATTTGCCCAGGCTTTAAATGTTGGAGCTCCTCAGAGCTCAGATCATTATTTTGGGATTGCTCAAAACGCAGGTGCACAAACTCAGTGGAATATTAAGACAATAGAAAGTTTCCTTAACACTCATTTGTTTCATTTTGAATTTCCTCTTTTTCTAGTCCTCACTCTTATTTTTCTGATGATGCAGTTCTTAAGTGCTCTGACTTATGTCAGTAGCTTCTGTGCACAGGAAGGTTTGACTGCCATGGCAGGAAGAGAGCCATGAAGACAGGTGTAACTCCATCTGCCAGTTTCCCAGTAACTACCACTCAGGCAAGTCAGGGGCCGTGCTGAAGCTATGCAGAAGTCTTCTGCTTTGAGCTGTCCACTGGGACTGCAGATTCAGGGAGGTCAGAGGGATAGAGAATACCAGAACTGGAATAAGGAAAATGAATGGCTAGTCACCTTTGTCCTGCTTCTCAGGTTGCTTTATCCTTTTTAAAAAAAAAAAAATGTATGTTATTCTGTAACACTCGCGACGAAGGTACAGGTAGGCAAAAAGAAGAAAGTTGTCTGTAAACCAACTACTTCTAATATTTGGATATACTCTTATAGTTTAATATTTATTTGAATTTATTTTTTACAAAAATGAGATTATGCTCTTTATGATATTTTATAATCTGCTTTTTGATGTTTATTTTATTCTTAAAATAATTTCCTTAAGTCCTTAATATTAATAAACTGTGGTTTATAAACGTCAGTCTGTCTTATATTTGCCGGCCAATTTCAACCTCACCAAGAGCCATAATTTTCTGGGTATTAGAGTCCAAATTAGATGATGTTTGTAGTTGAGTGTGGTTTTTAGTGTGTCCGTTACAATTCTATAAATTGATGAGATAAGCTGATCCTTTAAGGGAATTCCTCAATTGAAGGGAAATCCCTCATGAAAAATTAATACTCTCTCTTCCCTTTTCTAGTGGTTGTATTTTTAATTTTTCAGAAACAGAAATCATGATAAATAGGTTATAGTGGTGTTGGATGAGTTATTTTTAAATGTTTTTTTAGGTATTGTAATTAAAGTGAAATCTTTAATTATATATCCAAACATACATCTAAACTGGTTAGAATGATTAAATTACAAGCAATATTCAATTTACTCACATAAGCAGATCAGTAGTATGCATTTTTAATTTGGAATAATGTTTCTTTCACTGTTGTTCTACTCAGCCCTTTACAAATGTATAGTTTTGAAGCTTAAATTTAAAAATACATTTGATAGCTTATTAGCTTTTAAATTGTTTTTTCTTATAATTATCACAATTAAACAAAGATCATTTGTGCATTTTAATCCTTGACTGATTCTTTAAGGCAAATTTACATGGCAATATGAGTATTTTTTTTAGCTAATTGCTATTTTCATTAATAAACAATTTGAATGTACAAATATATATTCATACAGAAAAGTACAATCATTTAATATTGATAACTTCATTTTTAATATATTTCCTGAATTTACATCATAAGCCAAGGTATTAAAAAGTGATAGTAAGGTATCAAATTATATGTTTATGAATTTAAAAAAAATAACTCGCCAATTATAAAAAGTTCTGGAAGGTATTAGCAATGTTTTTGCAATTTCTCATTTTTCCTTAGTGAATTATACTCTTGAACAATTGTAATTTTTACAAACATAACAGTAATTTTTACAAACATAATGCTAAATTTAATTTTTTGAATGCCTTGAGATTCCCTCTCACATATTTTTTTCTAAACATTTAAATTTTTTTCTGTAAGTAGTTACATTTAAATAAACCTGATTACTTTTTTTGTTGAAATATGTTACCAATACATTGTCACATTTAGCAAATGTGATAAACCTCTGTAAGTAAAATAAATTTAGTGTTTGGCAATTACAAAAGACATTACATTCAGTAAAAAATAAATGTAGGAGAAAAAATTATGACTTCCTTTCAGTTTCTTTTGTTGTTCTACATGTTATGAATGACAGTTCAGACAGTTCATTTGCCCATTACTTAAAACCTTAATTGCTCACAGGCCACTTTTAAAAGAAACCCCTAATGGGAAGCCCAGCATTACTTTGTATACCTGGGTGACATGAGTTGCATTATAACTTACCATTCTGTTGGAAGGCCCTGATCCCTTGACAGGAATTATTTGCCAGCAACTTGATACAGCTTCTAACCCAATGCTGTGCCCCTGGACATAGTGAAGTCTAATTTGCATATCATGCAGACAAGATAAATAATTCAAAAGTCCAGGAATAATTTATTCAGTCAAACTTCCAAATACAGTTCAAGGGGAACTTCCCGTGAGGTCAAGACACAAACAAATTACACATTTCACAAATAGAGTTTGTAAAGACTACTGTTGAAATCATTTCATTCACTGTCAAAACAACAGAGAAGCATTTATTTTCATGTTGATTTGCGTATTTAAAGTTAGCATAGTTTATATTGGATATACAATTGCTTCTGCTTTTTTCTGCTTTTGCTTTATTTTTCAAATTGACAATTTTAGTGAATTCTACATTGGGCATATAACTAAGCAGCTGTTATCAACAATTTTGAGGGAGCTGTAAAACAAATTTTGAAAGCAAATCTCGGTATATGCTCTGTCAGTGTTCCAGCAAAAGGGACACTAGAGCTTCAGGTAGTTCTCATTTTATTTTCTGTGATTAAAATCAAGAGACACATAAAAAAGACATATCAGATGGCTAGGGATTAGGGAGAAAGGTGGTGTCTAAGCAAGATAACCTCAGTACATGGCAATTCATTACATCCCAATCAATGCTTGGCAGAGCACCTGAAAGCACATCACCACGATTTCAGACAGGAAGCACACCTGGCTTTTTCTGAGGATTGTATTAGATTTATATTCAAGTAAACACTCGGTCAGCTTCATTTGAAGCATTGGGTTTATGCTGAGAAAGTCCCTTGTTGTGCAGGCA